CTCAAGGTGCTTCTGACATCCTAGAGGAGAGAGAGAGAAAAGAATCTCAGTCCCATCTGACACAAACAGGGGGGGCCAGGGAAGGGATTTAGGAAATATGGGGGAGAAAGGCCCTGCCCCAGCTACTATGCTCCAGTGCTAATGTTTTTCACTCAGTCTCACCTGCAGGAATTCACTTGCTGGCTTCTGACACTTCCCCTCCAGCTCACTGATCAGCTCACTGAGACGGGAAACCTGCTCGGAGAGTTGACTGACATTTTCATTCTGGATCCTCACAATCTCTTCATCCAGCTTCTCCAGCTGGGCCAGCAGGAGTCGCTCTTGTTCCTCCAGGAACTGCCGCAGTTGCTGAAATTCAGACACAATCTTCTGCCTCTCGGTTTGTGTTTGTTTCTGTATGAAAATAGGGCAATGGCTGGTCAGGGACATGGATGGAGCCTGGGGTCCTTTCATGGAGAGCTGAGTGTGCAGGAGGATGAATTTCTTTGAAAATCAAAAGATTTCTGACATTTGACTCTATCCTGTGTGTACTAGGCAGGGGATTCTCTCACACCTTCCCCTTTGGCCCCTGTATCCCTCTGAAAGGGATTTTTCCATGTCTGTCATGGTCAGCAAATTCTGTTATTTATGGTCTCTGGAAATTCAGACCCAGAACAGCAGGAGGCAGGACTCAGCACTACACTGACAGAGACGCCAGGGGAGTTAAAAGAAACACACATTTAAAAAATGCACAAAATGACCAGACACAGGGGACAGCACTTCACGGGGACATTCTGTTCACTTGGGGAGGATTTCTGTGAAAGCCACAAGGACTAGACATTAACTCATCAACTGAAATGGAAGCTTAGGGCTTGTCTACACATGAATCTAACCCAGCAATCCATGATCATGGAGAAACACACACAAGCCCATGTTCACCAAGGCCACACAGGAGTCTGCCTCCAAACAGACCTTCCACTGCCAGTCCCTGCTGGTTCATAACAACAGGCACCTACCAGATACTCCTGGCTATTCCCCTCTCTAGTCGCTTTGAATCCCAGCAGCTTTTCTCTTTCTTCCCTCAGTGTCTTCAAATGGGCCTGGATTCTTTCCTGAAGAAACAGAAATGATTTGGAGGTTTCATCTGAATACTTGAGAGGTTCTTGGAAGTGGGTGTTTTTCCAATTGAAACCCAAGATGACTGGTTCTAATCGCTTTGTGACATCAGGACCACAAAGGAGATGAAACCTCATTAATGGAGACTGGGAGCATGTCATATTCTGACTTGTTACCAATTCAGGTTCAGTGTTTAGCCCAGTGTCCTCTAGTGCAGGCCGGCAGCATCTGAGTTTAATCCTTCATGGAGCAACTCAGAAGTTCACAACCCCAGTGAGAGACCTCCTCTCCCTGTTGGGCCTGGGACCTTTATCAAGGCATCGCTCCCTCCTAATGGACACACTGCATCCCTGGCCGGGGCTGATGCTAAGATGGCAGCATGGCAAAGTGGTTCGGGTCTTGGACTGGGTCTGGGGAGATCTGGGTTCTATGCTAAGCTCTGTCACTGACATGCTGAGTGACTGTGGGAAACTCGCTGCCCCACTTTGTGCCTCAGTTTCCCTTCCCACCTTTTGTCTAGCTAGACCAGTGGTCGTCTACTGGTCGATTGCGATTGACTAGTCGATCCTGGAGACTCTCCCTTTTGATTGTGATCTCCGGCAGCACAGCGGGGTTGCCGTTGCTGCTGAGGCTGGCTCCCTGCCTGCCTCAGGCATACGGCACTCCCAGAAGTGGCCAGCATTCCCATGCAACCTGGGGTGAGGGCAGGGTTCTCTGTATGAGTCTCCTGCCTGCGGCACCACCCCCCACATTTCCCATTGGCTGGGAATGGGGAACTATGGCCAATGGGAGCTGCGGGAGCAATCCCTGCAGAGAGGGGCAGTGCACGGAGCCACATACCTCCCTCAGGGGCCACAGGGGTGCATTGGCCCCTTCTGGGAGTGGTGTAGGGCCAGGGCAGGCAGGGAGCCTGCCTTATCCCTGCTGCACCAATGACTGGGAGCCACCTGAGGTAAATTAGTGCCACCCAGCTGGAGCCAACACCCATTACCCCATCCTGCACCCAACACCCCATACCACCTCCTGAACCCCAACCCCCTGCACCAGCCCAGAGCCCCCTCCTGCACCCAAGCTCCCTCCCAGAGCTTGCACCACTCAGCCCCTCCTGCACCTCAACCCCTTGCCCCAAGCTGAGCCCAGAGCCCGCATCCCTACACAAATCCCTGCCCCAGACCAGGGAAAGTGAGTGAGGGTGGGGGAGAGCGAGTAACGGAGAGAGGGGGGTATGGAGTGAGTGGAGCTTTGTGCGGGGCATCAGGAAAGGGATGGGGTAGATCCTGCTTTCAAGTCTTGATATTTTGCCTCTGTTGCCATACTGCCAGACCATTAATTTTGCTATAGCATCTCCCCATACAATGAAGACTTTACAGAGCTGAATGATGACTCACACCTGTGACAGGTAACTCTCAGTGAAATTAGGCTGTAATTAAAACCCAAAAGTTAATCATTTAACTCTGACAGCAATACCCTACCTTGTACTCCTGGGCAGCCTCCTGTATGGGAACCACCGTGTGAGCACGGTGAGCCCGGGATCTGTCGCACACCACACAGATGGGGGTTTGATCCTCTTCACAGAACAGTTTCAGAGCCTCCTGGTGTTCCCCACACACCCCGTCCGCTCCTGCTCCCTTTGCTGCCTGTAAACTCAGCCGCTTGGCTATTTCTACCATGTTTGCCAGCTGCCTGTTGGGCCTGAGATTTCTCTGTTGCACAGTTTCTCTGCACTGAGGGCACGAGGCGGCTGTATCGGATCCCTCCCAGAACTGGCTGATGCAGGCTTGGCAGAAATTGTGCCCACACTCCAGAATG